TAGCAAGAGCCTGTCTCAAAATAAATAATATTTTAAAAAGGGCTGGGATATAGCTCAGTGGTAGAGCATCCCAGGGTTCAATATGCAGTACTGAAAGGAAAAAAAAATTATAAAATCCACATTATTTCTAAAACAAAAAACAAAGGTAATAAATTATATAAAGTAAAAGGTAAACATTTGTACTTGACCATTCCCCACCTCCATTAAAGTCATTTTCTACAAAAAAAAAAAAAAAAAAAATGTTTTATGGACCCCATTTTCTTATGTAGTTTTTTTGGTCCTGGAGAAGCAGTACACTTCACCATTGAGTTATATCCTCAGCCCTTTTTATTTTTGATTTTGAGACAGCGTCTTGCTAAGTTGMTTAGGGCCTCAATAAACTGCTGAGGCTGGCTTTGAACTKGAGATCCTCCTACCTCAGCCTCCAGAGTTGTATATTAAAGGCATGTTCCAAAAGGTCTGGCTTCTCATGTARTTTTGAAAATCATACCTACTGTCAAAACTAAGTCTCATAATGTTGTTAYGTCTTTATAATCAAAATTGTCAACACATTCAACTCAATTACTTACTCTTGTAGACATTTTTCTAATACTAAAGTTGCAGTTAGATTTTTTTCAAGTTTTCCCAATTCAAGCTTTATCTCTTCATTTTTGGATTTGGTACGAAAAAGATCAGAGGTCAAATCATTCACTGCAGGGATAAAACTAAAAGAAGAATTTGGTTACATACCTGAGTTGAAGACAATAATGATAAGTATTTATTATTAAAAATGATCTTATCTCTATGTAGGTTCTGATATAATCAAATTGTTTCATATGTTTATGCATTTTTTTGCAAGCTATTTCCATTGCTAGAATGACCTTCTTCAGGTGGCAAAATTCCATTTCTCTTTTAAAACTCTGCTGTTCAGCCTACATGTTCTTATACCGAAAATGCTGCTCTGAGTATATAGAAATTCCAAGCTTTTATATTGGTAATTAAACAGAACAATTGTGTAGTTCTCTGATTATGATAAATTATAATGGTAGTCCTAGCTAAGAAATGACCACCAGTGATAGTCAGATGAACTTTGGAGACTGGGTTAGGATCCCAATTTGCTGTTTACTAGTTTGGAGAAACTATTAGCCCACTCCTCCCAAGTCTCAGTTTCCTCTTAAGGTTCTTGAAGAATCATGTATAGGTATATATATAAAGGSAACTGTCACAAAGAATGAAGGTCTCTATCCTACTTTACTCAATAGAATGATAGATACATGATCAAGATTTACCATACTGGGGCTGGGGATGTAACTCAGTGGTAAAGCGCTTACATAGCATGTGTGAGGCCTTGGGTTGCTGTACAGATAAAACAAAATTTACCATGCCTGACCAGATAATTTAGCCTTGTGACAGCTTTTCTTAGTGTTTACAGGGAACAATGTGATACCCAATCCTTCTCCAAATACATGTGAGCCCACCTTCACAACCTAATCCTAAAAGAAGAAAGCACCCAAAATTAACCAGTATCAAATTCATCTTAACTAATCTTACTTACTAGAAAAAATAAGGAGTTAATTAAAATGGCTTTTGTATTTATTGTTAATTTTCTATACAGAATTACCTTGAGAAACAAAAAGTCTATGGGTCAAGACGTTACAAAATGACTACAAAAATTAAAACTGTCATAATTACCTTGCTAGTGAGGTGTCCTTTGTTTCAAGGGCCACTGCACTGTCAACCAAAGCATTCAGATACCTGGAACCAGTGCTAGACAGATTGGCAGGGGAAAAATTCACACTCTCCATGAGAAGGTCTTGAAGATGCTTAGCTGAAAGATAATTTCATGATGACTAAGATATTTTGTCTTTATTATTTTCTTAAACCTTTAACATCTATATTATAGTACAAGTCGTACCATCCAATCTACCCACTTAAAGTATACAACTTGATGGATTTTAGTATACCTGTCAACATATCTATTGAATTGTATACCTGTCAACATATCTATTCTAGAACATTTTTGTCACCCCCTAAAATAAACCACGTATCCCTTAGTCACAACTTTTCAATCTCCTAAGCCACAAATCCCTAGCAGCCACTTTATGTCTCTATTCATCTGTTTATTTTGGACATTTCATATAAA